GACAGAAAATTTACTAGACTCGTTCACGATCTGGTGTCGCAAGAAAAATTGCTCATGATATTGTTTCTTGGGTAGCAAATTGCCCAATCTTGCCTTCAGGAGCTGCAGTAGTTGATCCGCATCCTATGGGATTTTGTAGTGCATAATCTTTTTGTTGGCATCGCGGGTCAAAAACCCCGGTATCATCTCATATTGATGGGGACCCGCTTGATGTATCGCCGTACCTGAGATTCCCAGACCTGGAAGTCGTCACCCATTACAAATTTTTCGGGAGTCGGAATGTTGGAACTCTTTACCACAATCGGGGTTTGCCAGGGTTCCACTTCTCGGAAATCTGCTTCGCCCAGATTCGTTTTTTCACCACTTTCGTATGTACCGGATTTCATGATTATTCGGGTCCTGGCAGGGTCGCCAAATCTGTAATGAGCAGCCGACTGTGAAATGTAATGGTGGACGCACGGTTAACAAATTTCTCCCTGTACGCTTCTCTTTTACGCACACGCACGCACGGCAAGAACGACACCGGAGGCAGGAAAAAGTATATTCGAGAACCGGATGTGTCAGTACAACCGTGACATCAGTTAATACATATATATATATATATATATATACAATGTTATATTATATACAAGCAACATGGAGTGGGGTTGGTAGTAGCCAATCAGAAACGAGTTAGTCTGTGAGGGCATTTGGTGTCTCATTCCTCAGGGATCCCATCTTGCGTTGGCTCTGTTCTTGTTCGGTATCTGTGAGAAGATGGAGAAAAGACAGGAAAATTGGTTCACATCAAGATGTCTGCCCTCTGACATTTGTCCCCCATACGAATTATGCGCTGTCCTAAGTGCTGTTGCCGGCCCGCCCTTTGGGGGAACTTCACATTCTTCTGCAACGATCTTAGGGTGAGGCTGGGTGCAAGATCAACCCAGTCTTGAAGTAACATTTTACATTTTGAAGGTGCAAAACGCATACCGAACATGGCTATGCTGGCGCTCAAGCTATCTAGGAAAGTCTGCAACTTACCTGGATCTTCGCTTCACAGAACAATGTCGTCTGCATACTCTGAATCAGACAGCGTGTCACCTGGGAATTAATCGAAGCCACTGTCCTCGCATGAGGATAGGGCTATTTCCATAATGAGGTCTATAACAAAGTTAAATAGAAAAGGAGATAGAGGGTAACCCTGTCGAACACCACTTTCCGTGGTGAACTCGGGCGAAAGAGTACCGTAAGCTCGGACTCGACTTCGGCTATTCTTATAGAGGGATTGTAATATTGAAATAAACTTCTCGGGCACACCCTTCAGAGAAAGGCAGCGCCAGAGTTTAGAGTAATCGACTGAGTCGAAATCCGCTTTCAGATCGAGGAAGATAGAAATGGTGGGTCTATGAAAGCAATGTCGACGTTCCAGAGTTTGGTGGAGAGTGAAGATGTGATCCATACAGCCTCAACCAGGTCTAAAACCAGCCTGGTTCTTACGTGTGCACTCTTTACGAGCGGCAGACAATCGACGGAGTATGATGTCAGCGAGAAGTTTAGAGATGATGTTGATTAAACTGATTCCGCCGTGGTTTTCACAAGAGGATCTGTCACCTTTCTTGTAAATCGGTATGATGACCGGTTCACACCATTCAGTTGGAACCTCTTCCTTCTCCCACACAGCCCAGGAGCTTTGTTAACTCCGAGACTAATGCTGAGCCTCCATCCTTAAAAACCGATGGGGACAGCCCGTCTGGACCGGAGGCCTTATGCTTTCTGAGATGACTTATTTCCCGAGATACCTCCATTTCAGATGGAGGACTGGTATCAACTGGGAGTATCTGCCCAGCTGAGGTGGACGGTGATAGTTAAGATGTCAATGGGGGCCAGTTGAACTGAGTCTGGAAATGTTTGGCTCAACAGTCAAGACATCGTTGCAGATCGTGAATCAGTGTGCTACCAGATTCCTCAATTGCCTCACGCCATTTTCCTAGGGCCCTTATTCCTAATTAGACGGAAAAGATTGCGACTATTATCAATAGCCACAGCTTTCTCCATCTCTCTACATTTTCCTATCTACCACTTCTCGCGGTCATTCCTCAGACTTAATGAGCTGGCGCTTGTTGGATTTGCGCGCTGTGTCGTATGTGGCATCGACGGGGCGGGTTCTGCGAGCTTCCAGCAAGGCAGCCGAGGTCGACGATATCCATCGTTTGTGTATTGAGCTTGTGGCAGGGTTCAACGTTGTTTTTATCGATATTTGAATAGCTTTCTTGATTTGCTTCCAGTGTTCATCGAGTCCTTCGGCAGGTGATTGAACTGACAGGCGATCGGAGAGCTCCGCTTCGAAGGCCGATTTGCATGAATCATTGACACTGTATCGCGGGTATCCCTTGTCGGTGGCTCTTTTTTCGGTTGTTTGCCAGGCGTAAGGTTAAAGGTAAATGTTATCTACCTAAAAGTACGGATCTCTCTCTCGGGTTCTACGTTAGTGACATCATCTTCGCTTGTTTTTCCTCCTCCTTCTGACAATGATCATTCATACAGTAGCTTTTTTTTATTGTGATACACTCCATCACAAACTTCCGTCAGAGGCCACCACATTTTAGCCAAATCAGTACACAATAGTTTGTGTGCACTTTTTGTGACGTCTATTAATTCGTGTACCAACTAGTAAGTACTCTTGTCTGTTCACATAAATTTATCTCTAAGCACTTTTAAAGGTAATCATTCTGTTGATGTAATCATCCGGCCTTCTAAGCATGAAAAAGAAAAATAAATCAGCGTAAGAAACACGATTGTCTTCTGTGTGCCTCTTCGATTTTTCCAACTTTTTTTTTATCTGAACGTTACTGAGATAGTGTTCCTTGGACTTTCTGCAGTGTGTGCTAATCTACAAATCATTTCCGGTTCTGCCGGACTCAATGACTCAATATTTCTTGCTGCTATCTGTCGGTATGCACCCCATCATTTGTTCTTGTGAAACAGTGCTGGCAAACTGATTGTATCCCAGTTTCTATACCTTCTATACCTTTTCAACTTGAAATGAATCCGTTGTAACTTCAAATGAATCCAACCAATCGCACTCCATTAGAAACCCCGACAAGATGCTTGGTGTTTTAGCCGTCAAATGTCACCGATTGGACCGGGTCCGTCTAAACCCCCTCCAGTTCGAATGAACTAATTTCTCGGTAAACAAACAAAAGTACACTTTTCGCGAGCTACCAAACAAAGTTGAATGTTTCGGTAGGGTGGTGGGTGGGTCGACGTGGGCCGCTCTCTCCCCGCCTCCCCACACACCCGTTCCACCCAGGAACGTTATGTTCGTGATCGTTGATCGATTGTGCGTCATAGATACGAATGAACTAACCCGGAGTCAACTGACCTCTCTCGGTCCGGTAAGGAAGCGAATCACACCAAGATGGATCGATAAGTCGGTCACCATGTCTAGACATGAATGTGAGCATGGTTCATTGCATGAGTGGAGTCAGTGTGAGCCCACAATAACCCAATGAGTAAACTCCATTGAGACCGAGTTTCTCTCGAATAAAACCGATTCCTTTGAATCAAATGATTGCTTACGTATTTCTGACATTGAAATGCACACTTCACAAGATACTTAGCATGCATAAAAACGTATTTCTGACATTGAAATGCACACATCACAAGATACTTAGCATGCATAAGATGATGGGGGTGACTACTGTAGTTAGTTTCTCCGCTCGAATCCACATGTACGTGATTATTTTGACCAAACTGGAATCGACCCCAACGATTGATAACTTGTACTATTTACACCCTAACGACCAGCAAAATGTCGCTTGCCCAACCTAGTCTACTGCTTTTACATGATCGTTCGGTTTTAACGATGCATGAACTTTCTGCCTCGAGTTCCCTTTAATCACCACGTGCACTGGAAAACACCGCCTACCTAGGGACTGGTTCTGTATTAAATTATCAACGAACGTAAAATGGATAGCCAACACACGGTAATTGAAAATGTGCCCTAAAGTCTACGAACTATCTAATGCACCCGGCCTATCGACTCCAATAATGATAGAACTTTCCGACTTACATTTCCCATTCACAAAAAATTTCAGTGGTTAGACAAAGATCAAATGTATTAAAAATCAAGCATTTCGATCGCTGACGGATAATGTACACGAACATGTTCAGTCGCATGCTGACAGTGATCCTTCGTGATATGAGACTTGGCATCACCAGCAATGCTTTCCAAACATGCCATCGTCCAGTCCTGTTGATTAATTTATCCTTCGGGATCACCCGTCATAATCTTTACATGCTGGTTTCGGAGCTCCGTTTCGATGTAACTTTGCGCAATGCTCCATATCATTTCGATCGGATTCAAGGCTGGAGAATACGGAGCAAGTCTGAGAATGCTCACTCTTCCTCCGGAAACGACGTTTTCAAGTTTAGAATGACAGGGTGCGTTGTCACACACAATCACATGACTTGTGCTCTTCCTGCAATAGTTGATCAACTAGCGTTTGCAACCATTGCAGACACAATACGGAGTTGTAAGATCCTCTTTTCAGAGTATAGTTCACCAACCTATCCGCATTCATAGCACCTATGATGTGCAGATTTCTTCCTCTTGAACTGGCCACTGGTATCCGACACCTTTGACCTCTTGGTGCACGCCCATAATTTCTTGAACAATGTAGGTTGAAGTTGGTTTCATCGATCCAGATAATCTCATGTCCAAGTGCCTCGTATTATTGCAGGTGTTGAACATATGTAGGAAGAAATGATTCAAAAACAGGTGGTTACATTACCTTCTCCTCTTCTCTTTATTATCCAGTAGGTTCATCGTTACTCGTATACCTCGCAAAGTCACATCAATTCTTCAACCGCTGACCTCGCAATCAGAAACCAACCAGATCAGTATAAAAGTTGTATTCAAAGGCGTCCAACCGCGTCACATGACTCTGTCTTGAGAATTCTAAAAAATGTGAACAATAACCAATTTGAGACCAATCTAGAGTAGAGGTAACCAACCAGATTGAGCTTATTCGAGACTCACGTAACTACTCGTACATTTCAGCACATTCCACGAATTCTCTGGAACCCCTAGTGTTTTCTCATTGGTTGACTTCAATTTCCCCGTAGAGATCGACCTTCCTGACACTCATCACACTGCTTCCGGAGTGAATTAAAACTGGCATCGTGACTACAGTTGATCGGTACGAAAAATCACTCATCCATAGTCTAAATCGTTGATTTTAACAATTGTAAGAACAGCGTAGAAACGCTTATGTGTTCTTGAATATCAATCGATTAAACAAAGCTCATCTCTGATTACGGAGGGGTTTGAATAAAGCGAAACTTATTCACTGCGTTTCTATCCAGACATTTGGGTTGTTCAATCAGACGCTTCAACTTTTCAACT